CCTGTTCTGCTACCTTACTTTGTCTCTAGTGAACCGCTCTTCCTGGCACAATCTGCCTGTACCTCAGTTCTTGTATGCATAAATAAATAAATTTTTTTTAAAAAAGCAAACATCACTTTGAATGTGGAAACAGTTATAAGACTACAGCTGTCTTCTACTAAACCACAAATTAGATTTGCCTCAATGTAAAACAGTTCCACTCTTCTTATGAATTTTTTTCAGAAAACAATTATTTTTCACAAAGCATATTATTTTATTAGCACATAGGATAAACATTGTCTTAAAACAAATTCTGTGCTAGTATTAGAATTTGTTTTAATTTCTAATGTGGTATCAAAATTACCTTCGGGACTTTTAATTTTATGTGTATACTGGATGCTTGAGGCCAGAAATTTAAAAAACTCGAAACCTGTGGGGATTACAATTGAGATGGAAAAAAAATGTACAAAATGATGTAAAAATAAACTGTTATTAAAAAATTAAAAAAAAAATCTGTTCAAAATGAAAAAAAAAATGTAAGTTGGTAACCTGGGTACATTCTGCCTGGGAGACATCTCTAAAGCTTATTATTAAGTGCAGAAGCAAGTTGTCAATCATTGTGTATAGAATGATGCTGTGATGTACATGGAAATGAGGTGTATATTTACAAATAAAGCAATTGCAATAATTCTCAAGAAATAACACACTGTTGTTGACATTATGTTCACTTTAATTTTTATAATTTCTGGTATAGTTATTTCTTTCTGTGTCATGTGCTAATATGATTTTTAATTAAATGGCTACATGCACAGGTAAATATTATAGTCACTAAAGTGTACAAAGGTGAATCATGATGTTCCACACTAAAAGCCTTTCTATATTGAGTCCTTTTACATTATTCTTTTCATTATTCCTAGATTATTCTTGTTCATTATTCCTCATTTTGGCCTGTGTGAATGTAATAAATAAAACTGCTTATCAAAAAAAATTTTAAAAAACTCATCCTTTGTTGTTCTCATTCAGAGTTCTTCTCTTTTCTGCCTATGGATATCCTGCATATAATTGTGGAATTGGTAATTAGCTATTCATCTAAAAGTTATTTACTGAGTATCTATCAAGAACCTGGCTTTTACTTGCTGCTGGGAATGTGTCCCAAGCCAGTACGGAAATCACAATGTAATGGGAAGATAAATTAAATAACTGTAATTTCCGCTGATAAAGTTTTACCAATGTTAGGCACATAAATGTGGAGTATAGGTTATTTTTAGAATCACTTGCCAACTCACTAGAACTTATGACTGATCAGTTTGATTGGATTATACCTTCTGTAGTTGATTCTTCATAGTCTGACAGGGAAAGTGACTGAACAATCATTTGCTATCTGGTCTGGCAGAAAAGAAGGAAACTATGACATATGTTGATGTCAACTTTATACAGACCCTTTACTAGGTGTTTTAAAAAGTATGTCTCAATTCTCACAAACCCCTATGCAGCAGAGAAAATTATCCTTATTTTGTAAAGGTGATTTAGAGACTCAGAGAAGTTAAGCAATTTGTCCAATAATGTATGGTTATCAAACATATGTCTTTAACTCTGGGTCTCTTTTGTTGCAATGATAAGATGTTGCTGGCTGGCTGGCTGGGTGGATGTATGGGTGTTATAAGATATTTTTAAATAACTATGAGAAACCTTAGGTTGGAGTATGTTGCAACAGGTGGAAAAGGGCTCTGGAAGGAGAGAGCAACAACAGAAGATTCTTGTTTGAAGGAATTAGTTGTGAATTCTTCTGGACAGGATTCTGTAGATACGTTGGGACACAAAGATTTTATATTCCTTTATCCCTATTTATGCTAGATGATGCCAAGAGCAAAGGTTACCTGTCTGTCTGAGCAGGGTACAAAACCAGGACCTGGTGTTTGAAACCCAAATTTCTTGGACATGCCCTAGACCTTTGGAGAAGAGGCTGGCTGACTTCAGGCCAATGAGGCCTAGTCAAGGCCTCCTGTAACCCATAAAATTTGATAAACTATTTTCATTATTATTATTTTTTTAAGATTCATTTATTTATTCATACAGAACTGGGGTATAGGCCAGAGATGCGGAGGGTGAGAGGATTCACCAGGGACAGAGTGGGGAGCAGAACAGGCAGATTGACGAAGTACACTGCTGAGGGGAGCAGCGGGCGGGTCAGGAGAGGTCTGCTGCGCCATGTGGTCACCTCCAGGGCAGGCGGGGATCGAACTCATGGGGAAGTGGCTTAAGCTTCTTAGTGCAGTGCTTTAACCCGCTGTGCCACCAGGGAGGGCCCTATTTTCATTATTTTTAAGAGCCTTTTATAAGTTGTGCTGTGTGTGTATACAGGCTAATGAAAATATTGGATTTCTTTGCCTTGGGTCAGAAATCTATCAGTCTGTTGTTCATATATGATTCCTATACTCTTTTAGAAAAGGGGTCAGCAAACTTGTGGCCAAATCCAGCTCATTTTCTGTTTTTATAAGGAAAACTTTATTAAAGTTCATTCATTTGCACAGTTTTGATTGTGGCTGCTTTGTGCTCAATGACAGAAGTGAATAGTTGCAACAGAGACTATAAGGCCCATAAATCATAAATTGTACAGAAAACTTGCTGACCCTTAGAAAATCTTGTTTCTTTCTATCATGTTGCTTAGCATATAGTGTTCTATTTGACTCTCTTCCCCACTTTTATAACTCCTTGAGAACAAAGATGAGATCTGATCCATCTCTTCATGCACTATGCTGAGGACATATCCTGACATATATAAAGAATTTGAGTAAGTGTAAATGTTGTCTAAGTGGGTATATCAAATGCTCATCAAAAAGCTCTGACATACTGGGCCCTCCCTGGTGGCACTGTGGGTTAGAGTACAGCACTATGAAGCTGGCCACGCCCACTTCAGCACAGGCTTGTCCCTGCCAGGGAGGTGACCCACATAGTCTGGCAGACCTCTCCAGTCTCGCCCACTGCTCCTCTCAGCAGTGGACTTTGTCAGTCTTCCTTTTCTGTTCCCTACTTTGTCTCTGGCGAAGTCTCTCATGAACCCCCCTGCACCTCTGGTCTGTACCCTGGTTCTGTATGCATGGGTGAATGAATCTTTAAAAAAAAAAAAAGCTCTAACATACAATTATATGTGCCTTTGAGTAAAACAAAGACAGAAATAAGGGAAGGAGTTATGTTGGTTTTGCTAATCTCAGTGCTGTGTGCTTCATGTGTGAACTAGTTATTACAATTTTTTTTTATTATACCAAGAGCTATTGTTGGTGAGGAAGTTGAAAAACAGTCCTTAATTTATACTCTGGTATCCATCACCTCTCCACTTTACCTACACCTCCCTGTTCCAGGTTGGTAGGACAAATGTACTTGATCATAAGATTGCGTACTGTTCACCTTACTTTTTGTATTTTTTTCTTCTTAAAGCCATTTCTTCAGTGTGCTTCTTCCAGGCATTACCATGTGTGGCTTCCAGAAGATGAAATCAACCTAAAGCTATCTGGTCATGCTGACATTGATACAGTTAAGGGAAGTGCTGGCCTTGAAGTCAGCAGACCTGGACTCTTGCTGTGGCTTTCAGCTGCTTTTGGTGTTGGACACACCAGTTAACATCTCCGAGCGTCAGTATTCAATGCTTCTGTATGGAGTCATAGCTACACTTTAAAAATTGAGTATTTATACTCCTTCCTCATTCTGAAAAGGATTTGAACAATTGACATGTGGTAGGTGACCTGTCCTGCTGTGTTACTGTCTCTGACCACCAGAAAGTAAATGACTAAATATGGATTCAGGTGTTTCAGATCTTTGAGCAGTGCCTTGGTGAATGCTCTTGGACAACACAATCCCTTTATTCTGTCCTTGCTTCCTCTCTTGGGACAGCTTCTTTTTTACTTTTTCTTTTTTTTTAAAGATTTATTTATTTATGCATACAGAACTGGGGTGCAGGCACTGTGAGAGGATTCACCAGAGACAGAGTGGGGAGCAGAACAGGCTGACTGACGATGTACATTGCTGAGGGGAGCAGTGAGGTCTGCTGCACCATGTGGGTCAGCTCTGGGTCAAGGGTGGAACTCATGTTGAAGTGGCTTTCGCTTCTTAGTGCTGTGCTTTAACCTGCTGCACCACAGGGAGGGCCCAGGCAGCTTTTTCTGTTAACTGGGAAACTTGAGGCCTAGAGGAGGGAAGGACCTTCTTAGAGTCACATGGTGAAGTTAATACTAGATTCCAGTGTCTTTCTGCTGTGTGCATCAGTCATGCCATATGTTTTCCAGGTTTCTCAGTGGAATTAAGGTGTCATAAGAATGAGGGTGGCTAAGCTCTTGTGCTGGTTTTACTGATGCATGACCTTGTGATGGTGAGCAGAGGAAACTGTGTTCCTAATCTCCCGAGCTGTGGTATCAGATGAGTCAGGACCTTGTATGTTTAATAGATCTGAATCTAATTGCTTGTGACATAAGGTATAAGACATGAAAGTTTTCCCCAATTAGCACATGGCTGGTATTATGTGCACCATAAGTGACAAAGGGAACAAAAAGAAAATTTTCATATTATTCTGGTATTGGAACAAATGGGCTGTTTTACTGTTTCATGACAGATTGTATTAATTTACATTGTTTACTTGACTGACTAAAATGACATTTTATTTGACCATGTATTTCTTTAATTATTAGTGAGGCTACATTTTTCCCTCTTTCACTTGATTTTGTATTTTCTCTCATTTTGTTTATCTTGTGAGTTACTTATTCTAGATCCAAGTGTGTTCCTACTTTTATGCTTGACTTCCTTGCCAGGGAACTAATAGGATGATAAAGTACTTTCCCTAAATGGGGATGCTCAGCATAACTTGGGGAGACAGTAAAAGCTAGATGAAATGCTTCCCACCCTGTACAAAGAGCTAGCAAAGAATCTACATGAGGAGTCAGCTGCGGCTGGAAGCAAAGGCCACTGAGGCAGTGGGGTAATAGACAGGGTAGTAGCCCCAAGTAATGTTGTATCTTGCTTTTTCTGTACAGAGTTTTGCCGGATTGACAAGCCCCTGTGCCACAGTGAGGATGAGAAACTCAGCTTTGATGCAGTCCGCAGCATCCACAAGCTGATGGATGATGATGCCAATGGTGATGTGGATGTGGAAGAAAGTGACGAGGTGAGATCTCTCACCCTGCTGTGGCTCTCTTCTCTTCCTGTGGGAACAAAACCTGAAAGCTGTGTAGACAGTTTGTTGCCCGTGGAGAGATGTGCTTTCTGTAGATTTGTTCTTTAGAAGCTCTTCTCTCTCAGGGAATGTGATTCTCAGCTGAGCAGCCCTCCAGAAGGCAGCCTGTCAGAGTGTAATTTTTGCTCTGTGGTCTGTGCCTGGACTGGCTCCCGTCTGCCTACTGGCTAGAAGAACCACACAGATGGGGCTATGTTGGTTGAGAGCGAGAGGGAGTCCTGAGGTTGGTGTCTACAGTTTCCCTGAATCCTTATTGTCATCCTGCTGTAGGTGGAGAACATCAGTCTGGATTTACCTTTTGCTCAACCTTCTATTAGTAAGTTGGAAAGAAGGCAAGGCAATCAGAGCTTGCCTTCTGGGAGCTTATACTTTGAGTAGAAGAAACAAGCATTCTTAGAAAGAGCATTCTGGATTCCAGCCTGGTACTGCTAGGAAGCCAGTGTAGTAGTCCAGATATTAAGGGATTCTCTAGAATCCCTTAAAAAAAGCTGCTTGGAAAAAAGCTGCTATTATTTACTTTTGGGCATTACTATGGCCCTAGTTCCAGAGAACCCAAAATACCAAATTACCATGAATGAAAAGATTTAAAAGTTTCAGTTGATTTCAAACCAACACTAGCCAGCAATTTGGTGAAATTATATCTTTAATCATGATATAAGATATACATCATGATGGAGGAAGTACATTTAATCTCCTTGCCCACAACTAACTTTTCAATTGAATTCTGTATGTTATGCTGTCAGAAGTATTTGGAACCGTGAGAGCTAATCTACCGGGGAGTGTTCTGAATGATGAAGAGTATGGAAACTATGAAAAGAAGAGCATCCAATCCAATCCAATACAATATTTATAAGTGTTTATGACTGTTCTATAAAAGGGGGATGTGGCAGTAAATTCGACAGCTATATATCCTCATATAATTTAGAGTCTAATGAAGGAACTTTACCTTGGAAAAGAAAATATTTAGGTAATATAATGCCTATCTTTAAATGTGTTAGAAATGGAACAGTCAGACTTAAGTAGTAACAGTAATAATAAAATTACAGAACTTGTTATCATTTATTGAATTCTTACTCTGTACAAGGCACAGTGTTAACACTCTTTGTATAGCTACTCTTAACTTCTTAATAGCCCAATGAAGTTGCTGTTACTACCTTGTAAAGTTTTCTTTAAGGGCATGCTGGATATAAATGCAGGTCTGATTTTAAAGCCCATTTTGTTAAGTACTGATGTATAGTTTCTTTTATTCTTTTTAAAAAAATTTTATTTATGCATATAGAGCTGGGATACAGGCCAGAGGTGCAGGGGTGGTGAGAGGCTTTCACCAGAGACAGAGTAGGGAGCAGAACAGGCAGATCAACGAAGTACACTGCCAAGGGGGAGCACCAGGCAGGACAGGAGAAGTCTGCTGTGCCATGTGGATAACCTCCAGGGCTGGGGATTGAACTCTCACTGAAATGACTGTGGATAGCTTGCAGTGCTGCGTCCCAATCTGTTGTGCCACTATGGAGGGCCAGTTTCTTGTATTCTAAGGGCAGAATCAAAACCACTTTGGGAAAAGTAAAATATAGACATATTCTTGTAGAATGAAGACTTTCCTAACAGAGCTGTGTCATCATAGAAGAGGATTTCTTGGTGGTAGGTAATGAGCTCTTTATCACTGAAGACAGGCAAATAGAATACATCTCTCCTCTGACTGGTCAGCAGAGGGAATTCTTGATTCTAAAAAGTTTATCAGAGGTAAGATAGACTTCCTGGAGGAAAAACAGAATAAGAATAGAGTGGCCAGGGTGGAATAGCCTGAGTGGAAGGGAATCAATGCGAGCAAAGGTGTGGAGGCAGTCAGAAGCATGGTGCATAGATTTGGTTAGACAGTGACTGTGGCATAAAACTGCAGGACAGAATTTCAAGAGGAAAGTAGGGCTGTGTAATCAGGTTGAGATGTGTGTACTTTTTGAACCAGCAGTTGCAGGTGCTTGAGCGAGGACAACCATTATGAAAGTCTCTGAACCTTTGCTCATTTCTGAAGTTTCACTGGTCCTCAAAAGATCCAAGGTTTATTGTCTGTGCTGAGAATGAAGACATGTTCTTGGTGGTGCTTGAGGCCTAGTTCTCTCTCCCGGGGTCTGACCATAGACTTGGAGTTGGATAGCAGAACAATTAAAGAAGTGGTATGATCCGAGATCCACAAATTCCTGGATGTCTTTGTCATCTGCTCCTCTTTTTTCACATTCTACTGAATTGCTTTGTCAATGAGAAGAGGAAGAAAATGTTCTTTTTAGAGGAATGTTACCACAACAAAAAGCTCATCAGCACAAACTGTTCTAAAATAACACAAAAGCTGTCACCCTGCTCTTCTCTGCACCAGTGGTGAGCTGTTCTTTTTCAGCAGAGCTTCTGCCTTGAATGGGCTAAAGCCACTCTCCCTCCAATCTCAGGCCTCTGGTGTTGAGAGAGACCTGCTGGTCTGGGTTTCTATGATCAGTTCAGTTACAAGCTACTGTGTGTGGTAGTACAGTGTGCATACTTAAGTCAATATAAACACATATGTGACAATCTTGAAGTCCTGGATCTTACTAAAAAGTTGGGTGGACTCTTCGAGTCTTCAAATATTGGGTAATGAGGCCCCAGAGGTGAAAGTGTCATTGTGCTGAGCATCAAGGATCTGTGATTTTTGTGACCCACTTAAAAGCATTAATGGTCACTCAAGGACCTTAGTAGAGTCTGAATGAATACTCTATTAAGGCTTCACTTATTTACCCTCTAATCTACAAGTGTTTCAGATAACTGAACTATAGCTCCATATTTCAAAATTTTAGTCATTCTTGAAGCAAGTCTTTCTTCTTACAGATTATTTTAAATAGGGCGTTAATTTTTATTGGACAATTCAAAGACTTAGGGCCTCTTGTGCTATTACTCCAGTGCCTATATACAATTGTTATGCTTTCTTCTACTAGCTTTTTTCTCTTCTTTGATTCATTCTCGTTTCTAAATGTTGTATCTACTCTGTTTGAAATTAAATTTATGGTAAACTAAGACTCAGTAGCGTTTATAGATAATATAAATATTATAAGTTTATAGAAAATATAATTGTTTGTGTGGGAAGTAGGCGGTTTGGCTGCTCGGGTGGCATCTTTGCTTCTGACCTGGATGGCAAGGGTTATGGATGACAGACCCTTCAGATGAGTGGCTGGCACTATTGGCAAGATGCCCTTCTTGCAAATCTGATAGGGAGTTCCACTAGCTTAGCAGTGTAGGAATTCATGACCTGAGTAACATTCAGACTTCTGTGGGGACAATGCCAGTGGGCAAAAGATTTCTGCAGCAGGATGGTACCACTGGGGAGGACAGGCTTGGGGAGGACAGACAAGGTCCCTCCAAAGACATTGTCTTTTCAAGTGGACAGACTCTTTGAGAACAGTGTTATTTCTTGACTGGTGCCTATATGGAAAATCAAGGTCACTTATTCAGTCATTAAAACAAATTATTACTAAATACCTATTATGTGCTAGACACTGTTGTAGGGTTATGAATTCCATAGTGAACAAAATGGAAGATACCTGCTTTTATAAAGTTTGCATCCAGTCATAGGTTTTTACATAGGTGATTATGTGACAATAAGTAAGCTTTGAAATTGGCAGAAATGTGGAGATTTTAGTAACTGAATAACTTCCCTTTGTTTTTCTCAGGGTAAAATGGTAGTTAATGCTTCCTACCTCTTCAGGTTTGTTGAATTAAGTGAAAAACTAAACAAAACAAAAAACCAAGAACTGTTAAAAGCTCCCAACACAAATGACTCTCAAAACTCAATAACAGAATGCAAACACCTCAATTAAAAAATGGGAAAAGATTTGAACAGATACCTCAATATATGTCAGAAAAGATATATGGATGACAATACATATATGAGAAGATGATCAATGTCATTGGCCATTAAGGAAGTGCAAATTAAAACCACAGGAAATGCTACTGTTCATCAGAATAACTAAAGTTAGGAAATGGACAAGTGACAGGCAAGGTGGAAGAGATACTACAACTCTGGCTTATAGAATTTTTTTTTTATAAAGTTAAATACTATATATATACTAGCAATTCTTTATCTAGGTATTTACTCCTATAGATAAATACAGTTATATTTACTTATATTTAATGTTTAAATTAATACATTTAAATTTGTGTTTACACTAAAACATGTATACAAATGATCCTAGAAACTTTTTTCATAATCAAAACTAACACAATCCAGTGTTTATTCAGTGTGTGAATGGATAAAGAAACTGAAAATCTATACTATAATAGTGAACTATTGATATAAGCAGCATAGATGAATCTCAAGGGCATTATACATTGCAACTAGTCTCAAAGAATTACACACTATATGATTATATCTATATGATATTCTGAGAAAGATAAAAGTCTAGGTATGGAGGTTAGATCAGTGTGATGATGGGTAGGAGTATAGTAAGGGTTTGACTACGGATTTGAGCGAATTTGAGGGGGGGTGGGTAATAGAGCTGCCTTTTGTCTGGATTGGTGGGGAGTAACTATATTCCCCCTACAGAAAGTTATATGTTAATTTTGAAAAGTTCTGGGCATAGTACCTGCCACAGTCAATCTCAGTTCTTTATAGTTACCTTCTCCTTTCTCTTTCTTCTATAGTTCCAGGAAAGCTACCTGCCTCTGGCAGTTGTAATTAATGTTTGCTTGATTGATGTGTTTCCCTTACTAAATTGTGAGCCTATTTGGGGCAGGGACTGATCTTACTTGCTTTTTTCTTGTTTCCCCATGCCCAGTAGACCTAGTACAGAACAGGTGCTTGGATCACTGTGTGGAACGACTGACCTGTAACTCTGTGGCAGCATGGTGTCAGGCTGAAATGGGAATTTTGAGCAAGGATGTGGTCATACATCTGGGGGGCTGAGGATGGGTAG